CAGGAAAAGGCAACTATTACTAAATGTATGGCCAAGAAAAGACCGACATCTCTAAATTGTCTCCTGCTAATTAATTATTTATTACGCTGGTTTACAATTGAATAAAGTAACAAAAAATTATACCTACTTAGTGGTTTTTATTTCTTATTAAGCTACATAGCGCATCATAGTGTTGTGTTAGATTGTGAGATGGTATGTCATGATTGTAGTAATGTTTGTGTGTCTGTGGCGTTGAGTTTAGTACTACAAACACAGCAATTTGTACTACATTGTTTAAATGGGTTAGCAAATAACTAGGAATAAACTTAATACATGAAATTAAAAAAATGATATTTGTGTTAAAGTTTGGACTTTATAGAAGTGAATAAATAAGTATAATAATAGTGTAAAATCTGCACGCACAGTCTTTAACAGTGGGTGATGCTTTTAACAGCATAGCCAATACCAGTTTGAATATTATTTTAAAATTACATTCGTGTAAACTGTGCATCTTAAATGGACATTTAAAACATTTTTCCATGACACATAAATTTTTAAAAAGCTAGTTACAACAAAAATATCACTCTTTAAGTACAATGTAACTGTTTACACCAAAATTAAAAAAAGAAATTGGCCTTATTATTCCAAAACCACAACACCACCGCCACTGTACTCACAAATAGTCGTTGTATTTCTTAAACCAGAGCTATCGTATCTCTGATCTGAACAAACTATAAAATGTTATAGACACTAGCTACTAAAATACTTTAGGCATGTGCAAAATTACGTTTATTAAAAGTTCACTAGCTTTCTTTGATCTACTCATCTAGCACTGGCGATTCATGTACATTATTTCACACACACAAAGGATGTCAAAAGAATGTTTGTATATAATACATATATATATATATATATATATATATATATATATATATATATATATATATGTGTGTGTGTGTGAGAGAGAGAGAGAGAGAGAGAGTGTTTATGTGTGTATTTTTGTGTATATATGTATGTATTTGCACAGCAAACATATACATGTAGAATTTTATCTGGAGCATTGACTATAATTTCAAGCTCTCATCAGCATACTAACATACAATACGACGTCCCTGAGTCTGCTCAGCTCTTACTGGTACCTGACTCACGTTTGAGAAAGTATAGGCGGCTGGGCATAGTGCTGGTCACACTATTCATTCATATACCGAGGTCAGAAGGGAACTTTACTTACTTACAAACACATCAGCAATATATTGATATCTGGACAATAATAGGAAGCCAGTATACACGCAATGAATATCATCATTATCATCATCATCATCATCATCATCATCATCATCATCGCCATCATCATCATCATCATCACCATCATCACCATCAGCTGCAGCATTATCATCGACAACGTCATCATGATCATCATCATCATTACTATCATCAACATTATTCATGTGGACCCCTTATGTATCATAGGGACTTCACCACACCTCCCCATTATTATAGCATCTTTACTTTATCTAAACCTTAATCAGCCGAAAAATTGGAATGGAAAAAATAAAAGAGAAATATGTTCAAAGTATTTGAATTTTTTTTTTAATTACAAAATCTTGAATTCGAAATTTCCTTCTACAAAGTATCTTTTAAAATATATTTGTCCTTGTGAGAGTTGTGTGTGTGTGTGTGTTTGTGTGTTTGTGTGTGTCCTTGTGTGTAATGCAAAAATCAAGTATCGCATTGCGACCTTAAAAAAAACCCTGTGCTGGTCTAAACAATGAGTATATAATTCAACGGACCACCATACACACTCTCACACTATCACTTTACAATATACCATCATTCCAGCACTGTGTGGTAGCGCTATATGTGACTATATGTGATACTATTATGTTGTGTTTAGTGAGGTAGGGTGGTCAGGAGAAAGGGGTATACCTGAAACATGGAGAACTCCTGAACGTGCGAGTGATAATGGCTACATTAATGCTGTTCAAGTCAGTTGACTACAATAACTAGGCTTTACTTAAGAATGACCACAACAATAAGGTCAATTATGTAATGAATACAATAATAACAGTAGCGTAGCGAGGGGGGGGGGGGCGGGGGGGGGGGGACATATGTCCCCGGGCACCGACTTAGGGGGCGCCAAAATGGGTTGGAAAAATAAATTGAAAGGTTGAGTGGGGTGCAAATCGAAAGTTTGAGGGGGGGGGGGTTCAAATCGAAAAGTTTGTCCCCGGGCGCCGGGAAGGGTCGCTACGCCTCTGAAGAAGAATGTTGTAAATGACCACAAGAGGAATGTTATAAATGACCACAAGAAAATTGTTGTAAATGATTACAAGAAATGTCTGAGCCGACATATACCTGAGTGCGAGTCACGTCACATTTAACCTCGCCAGGGATTTAATCTGTCTAACCGCTTTCTTTTTGAAGCGTGTCTAGAGCGATGTTGCTATCGGCGTACGACGGCCGAACGGAACATAAAACTGCATTTAATGTGAGCTCTCGCTTCTTAAACCAACGTTTCAATCAAGATGATCAAATTGACAAGTTAATCACAGAGTAATCCGTTTGATTTTCTCCTATCATTAATAATATACTTGTTTCTTCTTCTTTCATTTCGTAATTTGTCAAACACTGGTCACTATGATAGTGGTTCTTAAAATATTTTCATGTTCTCGACAGTTTTACACAGTTTTCAATATAAATCTAATAATGAAACTATCATTTTACCATATAGTTATGTTTGTAAATGTTGTTTTGTAAAAAAAAAAATTGTGTATTAATAAGAAGTCAAAGTTCAAGTGTAGGCTTACTCGTAAACAATATTTACTTGCAAAATAACTTAAATGTTTAATGTGTTGAAGTTGTTTCAAAGTTTCTAAGAATTTTACATTTAAATAAAAGCTTCAGCTCTTAATATTTTTTTTATTATAATCCACGATTTCACATTTATCTTATGACGGACTTCAATATCACATCTAAACTTATCGGAAACTTTGTTGTTTTTTTTTAAATCTACGACTTCGCATTTAAATTTAGCACGAACTTCGATTTTTAACTAAGCAGACGTATCCTAAATAAAAAGTAGTGACAAGATTTGGATTGAGATCTTGTTAAAAAATAAACCGGGAGTGATCTCCCGTAAAGTTTCTCGAATATTCTTATATAACTCGGAATATAGACATGATTTTTAATTACTTAAACTTTTAAAAATAGAATAGAATCTCGTAGAAAAAAGAATTGCGCACCAAGCGAACGCCAAAACAAAATGTGCATAATAGTGCGCAATATTATTAGTACTTTTTAAATGTACATGCGTTTTTTAAGAAATCGGAAATAGCGTAAATTACTACTTCCGGTGAACAGAAATTACTCAAAATTCGATACAAGGTAGAGGATTAGATTATTTACTTACATGTGAAATTTCATTTTTCTATCTGAAATAGTACTCAAGTTATATGCTTTTTAAAAATTCAAAGTAGAAAAAGTACCACTTTCGGTTATCGGAAATCGCTCAAAAGTTGATACGTATCTACGATTTGGATAAAATACTTATATATGAAATTTCATCAACCTAGCTGTAACGGTACTTAAGTTATCGCGTTTACACACAGACAGATAGACAGACAGACACACACACACAGACAGACACACAGACATACGGACAAGATTGAAAAATCATGTTTTTCCGTATCAGTGAGGTGTAAAACGTCGAGATTTGTAAAAATCTGGATTTTTTTTTTGCACGATTACAAGACTTTCTCTATACTTTGTATAATCGAGAAAGTAAAAAGTTGAGGACCGTTGAGGCACTGCAGCCAGCACAAGTTGAGGATAATTCTTTTAATCCAAAGCTGCCAATCTACCAGCTGTAGTTGGTGTATATAAGCAGATGTTGGTGTCTTGTTAAAGCACGATTCAGTCTCTTCCAAGCAGATCTACTTGCCTTGTTTTTTTGAGACGGTCATCTTTCCGTAGTCTAAACATCTTGGTGAGTAGGTTTAGTTTACATTATAACTATTCGCTAATTAGTTTTATCAATAATTAGCTTTTAAATTATTTTCTTTTAAAATCTCTAGATTGCACTATCTACACAGATTATCCCATGTATGTAAATAATTAAGTTTGTAATATTTTTTCCCATCTTCCCCAGACAATGTACAAATCTGTGCTCGCTGTTCTTCTCTTGGTCGCCATGGCCAACGCCTACGGCTATGGTGGATTCGGTGGATTCGGTGGAGGCTACGGTGGAGGCTACGGTGGATTCGGTGGTCTCGGTGGATTCGGCGGTCTTGGAGGAGGCTGGGGTGTGGGAGGAGGCTTTGGTGGCCTTGGAGGCTGGGGCGGTCTCGGTGGATGGGGAGGTCACGGTGGATATGGAGGTTACGGCTACGGAAAACTTCTCATCCCCATTGGAGGCTACTACGGTGGTAAGTTCATTCAGTTTCATCAGTAGGTAACATGTAACTACGGCGGTAAATACATTCAGCTTTATCCGTTGATTTTACAATAAGTATTAACCGAAATAGCTTAAAATAATATTGAGATATAGAATGTCGTCTGCAAAATAGAAAATAACTGAGCTAAAAAATAAAAGTGTGATTACTTTTACAAAAATGAAACATCTGAAAACAAGTTAAGTAAAATTTTATTACAACTGTATGTTGTCTTTAATGTCAGAGAGAAGTATTTTTCAAATGTGAGCATTTAAAATAAGTAATTAGTTATACATGCATACAATACTTCCTAAGTCGTATAATATATCACTGTTGTAATTACAATTTTAGGCATAATACTTTACCTGTTTAATATATCACAAAAGTCTTAAACATTGAGCTGTATACAAACTTTACAATAACAACTACCAATTTATAATTTATTTTTGAATACCACAGGTAAAGGAAACAACTATTACTACTAGAGGTGACGAAGTTCTTTAGTCCGTGTATTATGTAATAGATGTCTCGTCCAATTGTTAAATGTCCTCGTATTGTATTGTATAAATAAAAAGATCAGTATACAATTTTTTACTTGTTTGTTTAACTTTTTAGACATATATAGTTGAAGACTGCTGTTTTCTTTTTATGTAATGCTATAGAGAAGGTAAGGAGATGTAACTCTTATGAAGTTAAATCAATCTTATTAAACGTCACGTTAATTTCTCAATCATCAATCAAATGTTGATAGGGATTATTAAAGTAGTATGTGTATAGATGGAAAAAGGATTACTTTGTATTAAAGCACACACGCCTAAATCATACACCATTTAGAATTTTATTTTTAAGTTTTCGTTCCTGGCATAACTGGAAAAGAATTCAATTTATTATATTTTTAAAAGCTGTTTACTAGATGATAAAATTGTTTTGAAGCTTGTGTTTTGATTGCAAAAAAAAAAAAAATCTACTATTATAATAATAAAAAACGTAACGGAGCTGACATTTCTGTTCTCTAAAATAGAGAAACAAACAAAATGTTACATGCTCTTAAGAGTGAATTGCTGGCAATGGGAAAAATGTTGATCCCCGGATAGCAACCCATCTAGGATAGAGAACTCCACATTCAAACAACTTCTGCCTTATACATTGTTCTGGGGTACACATAATTAAAAAAAAAGTAAAGTTTCTAGCCTGAAGGTCCATGGGTAAAGTGAAGTAGAGTTCACCTGTTTCTGTGACATCGGTATGAAAAGTAGTTTGAAATGTGAGTCAACAGGCCGTATAGAGATAACACGATGAAATTCATTCGGAAAAAGCCAAACATGTTGTTTAACATTCTTAATGTTTCCAACATTAAATCTTTAGAATGAAGAAAATCACGCATTTCACAAGTTTAAAAACAGTTATTGTCTTTTGTAATTTGGCTAAGTATAGACGTTTAACCGTTGTTTTATATTCTTTTAAGTTTCCAATTGTTGAGAACTTAGCAAAGCTGTTACTGTTAGGATCAATGTATATCGTCTTAAAAACTTGTAGCAGTAACATGTTGTTGTTTTTTACTTTCTCGTATATACGAAGTATAGAGAAAGTCTTGTAATCGTGCAAAAAAAAAAATAGAGATTTTTGCAAATCTCGACGTTTTGCATCTCACTGATACGGAAAAACATAATTTTGCAATCTTGTCCGTATGTCTGTGTGTCTGTGTGTGTGTGTGTGTGTGTGTGTGTGTGTGTGTGTGTGTGTGTGTGTGTGTCTGTCCGTGTGTAAACACGATAACTTGAGTACCGTTACAGCTAGGTTGATGAAATTTCATATATAAGTATTTAATCAAAATCGTAGATCCGTATCAACTTTTGAGCGATTTCCGATAACCGGAAGTGGTACTTTTCCTACTTTGAATTTTTCAAAAGCCTATAACTTGAGTACTATTTCAGATAGATAAATGAAATTTCATACGTAAGTAAAAGATCTAATTCTCTACCTTCTATTAAATTTTGAGTCATTTCCGTTGACTGGAAGTAGTACTTTACGCTACTTCCGATTTCTCAAAAAACTAATGTAAATTTTAAAAGTAATAATAATATTGCGCACTATTATGCGCTTTTTTATTTCGCGTTCACTTGGTGTGCAATTAATTTGTCTACGAGATTTTATTCTATTTTTAAAACTTTAAGTATTTAAAATGGATTAAAAATCATGTCTATAGCCCGAGTTCCCATCCCCTGTTATTTTATATAAGAATATTCGAGAAAGTTTAGGGGAGATCACTCCCGGTTTATTACTTTCTCGTATATACGTAGTATAGAGAAAGTATTGTAATCGTGCAAAAAAAAAAATCGAGATTTTTACAAATCTCGACGTCTTACACCTCACTGATACGGAAAAACATAATTTTGCAATCTTGTCCGTATGTCTGTGTGTGTGTGTGTGTCTGTGTGTTTGTGTGTCTGTGTGTAAACACGATAACTTGAGTACCGTTACAGCTAGGTTGATGAAATTTCATATATAAGTATTATATCAAAATCGTAGATCCGTATCAACTTTTGAGCGATTTCCGACAACCGGAAGTGGTACTTTTTCTACTTTGAATTTTTCAAAAGCCTATAACTTGAGTACTAATTCAGATAGATAAATGAAATTTCACATGTAAGTAAAAGATCTAATTCTCTACCTTCTATCAAATTTTGAGTAATTTCCGTTGACCGGAAGTACTAATTTACGCTATTTCCGATTTCTCAAAAAACGCATGTAAATTTATAAAGTACTAATAATATTGCGCACTATTACGCACATTTGGTTTTGGTGCTCGCTTGGTGCGCAATTTTTTTTTCTACTAGATTTTATTCTATTTTTAAAAGTTTAAGTAAACAAAAATCTTGTCTATATTCCGAGTTGACATCCCACGTAGTGTTATATTAGAATATTCGAGAAAGTTTAGGGGAGATCACTCCCGGTTTTTTTTCGAATGCTTTACAAAAATTTGAACGAAAAATAAATTATTTTGAGAAGTAAAATTATTAAATATAAGCGTAAAACAAATGTTCTGTATTGGACTCTACAAACGAATTATCCTATGTATAAAGGTGTACAAACGTCCAAATATTGGAACACAAGTTGAAAACATGTAAATAAAAAAAAAAAAATTTAATTAATAATGCTAACGTTGGGGTGTTATTTATTTTCAAATATATATAAAATACGTTGTAGGTGGTTTATCATTTTATTTTAAATCTGATATTTTCAGAATAGATGTTCATGTTTCGTTCTCATGAGTTGAAAACACGCTTTAAATAATGCACTCGACGTGATGAAATATGTGTTTCACTGATCAGGTGAAAAATTTTACTATCGTAAAATGAAATAATTGATGATGATGATGACAATCAGTGTTTCTTTTCCTTCGGGGGGGGGGAGGGGCATTTGAAATTTTCGGGGAGGGGGGCGGTACACTTTCTTCGGGGATGGGGGGGCGGACACTGTTAAAAGTATATATTTTATATATTTTATATATAAATTTAATTTCGTTCGGGGGGGGGGGGTAGACTTTCTCGGAGCCCGCCCCCCCCCCCCCCCCCGAAGAGATGCCTTGAAGAAACTCTGATGACAATGGTAATGTATTAGATGACAGCAAGTCAAAAGTCTAAGTCCTGTACTAGAACAAGAGTTTCTTTAAGTTGTCCAAATAGAGCAGGAAGCACCCCAGACCTGCCAAGTAGCCGTAGAACAAATAGCACGAACGAAAGTATCAGAGGGAAACACATTCGAGTTTGATACAAGCTTTCTCATGCTAGTATTTAGACTTTCTGTTCAGTTTACCACACTCCAAAGATCTCAGTCTTGATATGGCAGCACACGGGATTAGTGATTCTCTGCTGTTGTGTACCTTTCGGAATGTCTTAGGAAATATCAGCTAAATGGCGAAATAACTGATTTGCCAATTGTCTGTTGTTTCTCTACATCTCAGCTATTCAACTTTATTTCATTTGTTACAGTTATTTTTCTTAAATATTCTCAATGTATTTTTAAAAACCATTTTAAACTATTTTGTCCGAATCTTGTCTAGATAAGACCCGCTACTAATACAAGAGTGCACAGGTGAGGAATTAAGACCCCCCGTAGGTGACCTATTTCTGATATCTAGACATATGGACATTTAAAGGCACGCCATAGAACTCATCAGCCTCTAGGGTTTGGTTTGGGGTGGGGTTTAAGGTACAAAAATACAGACTTTTTCATGCAAATTTCTTATTACATGTCCGAAATTAACCCTCTTCAAATAAATCTAAAAGTAAAAATTTCTATTTTTACAAGCTTTTATTTAACTCACTTCCTCTGTCGTCAGTCGTCAGTCTGTCTAGACGGAAACGCAGGAGTGAAAATTCGGACAGTTCTACTTGACCGACACGATTCACAGTTGGCACGTGGGTCAAGACATGAAGACAATGCAATCTGAAACTAAATTTGACTTAATTGGATGCCTAATTGATTTTTTATGAATTAATTAAAATTTGGACCGAATTAGTAGGCATGTCTAGCCAACCACACCACACGCGTCATCAATAGCTGCGCCATCACGACCACGTAATGGCTGCGTTCAAAAACCATTGCGCGCCTACTGAACGTGATATTCAGTAGGCGCGCAATGGTTTTTAGTCATGTAACTCTATTGTAGATAAAACATGTAAAGTACTGAAAAAAAATTCATAAAAAACGTTTTAATAACAAGCTTTTATGTAATGATGCACTAAAAAGTAGAAAATAAATTATAGACTACTATTTAAATAACTATAAAGAAAAGCGTGGGTCTCTTCTCAAATATTAGTAAAGGTATAAAATAGGTACTAAAGTACTAAAGTGCCCCACGCTTTTCTTTATAGTTATTTAAATAGTAGTCTATAATTTATTACAAGCTTTTATTTAACTCACTTCCTCGTCAGTCGACAGTCTGTCTGTCTAGACGGAAACGCAGGAGTGAAAATTCGGACAGTTCTACTTGACCGACACGATTCACAGTTGGCACATGGGTCAAGACATGAAGACAATGCAATCTGAAACTAAATTTGACTTAATTGGATGCCTAATTGATTTTTTATGAATTAATTAAAATTTGGACCGAATTAGTAGGCATGTCTAGCCAACCACACCACACGCGTCATCAATAGCTGCGCCATCACGACCACGTAATGGCTGCGTTCAAAAACCATTGCGCGCCTACTGAACGTGATATTCAGAAGGCGCGCAATGGTTTTTAGTCATGTAACTCTATTGTAGATAAAACATGTAAAGTACTGAAAAAAAATTCATAAAAAACGTTTTAATAACAAGCTTTTATGTAATGATGCACTAAAAAGTAGAAAATAAATTATAGACTACTATTTAAATAACTATAAAGAAAAGCGTGGGTGTCTTCCTTAACATTAGTAAAGGTATCCAATAGATACTAAAGTGACCCACGCTTTTCTTTATAGTTATTTAAATAGTAGTCTATAATTTATTTTCTACTTTTTAGTGCATCATTACATAAAAGCTTGTTATTAAAACGTTTTTTATGAATTTTTTTACAAGCTTTTATTTAACTCACTTCCTCGTCA